CATCTGAGTAACCAGCTCGGTTGTGGCATCAATTACTGGCTTTTCTGCTAAAACATAGCTGTAGAAATGACGCAGGCTCATGAAGTACGATTTGATTGTTTGAGGGACGTACTTCTGTTCCGCATACTTTACGAATTTGTCATTCAGTAGGGAGCAATCGAAAAGCGACATTACCCTTCTTTCAGCATCAATCAGAGATAAAATGTTTTTTATCTGTGACACATGTTGTTTTGCTGTTTTCTCATCTTTTTTACCTCCATCCGGCGATTGTAACCAATTGGCAAGCATGACTAACACTTCAGGGTCAGGACTCTTGCTGCTATCCACATCATCTTCAATTAAAATCACATCACATGTGGTTGAAGTCTCAGTTTGTTCAAAATCTTCCAAGTCCATTTCTTCATCTTCATCATTTCTCACAGTATCCACTACAGGTATATCAGGCATAGGTGGTTCAGTTTCAATTCTCTTGATAGCAGCAGCTCTCTTTTCAATCATCTGAACTGAATAGGGCCTTTTGGGTTGTGGAAGAGCTTTACTTAACAAGGCCTTGTACTTTGATGACTTTGGACTGAAACCATGAACAGTTTGCAAATGTGCAGGTAACCTTTTGACCACTGCAGAACGCCCTACCATTGGACAACATCTCTTTTTGTGGTAATCCTTGTTGCACCTCTTTTGCCCATGCTCATCAGCATTTGTTTTCCCTTTCCTATTGCCAGCAGCTGCACTCTCTGCAGTTGAAAAGGAATATTTCTTACGTAAATTAAACCGCAATACTGCAGCACGAGCTTGATGTTTTGGCCAATCATGCACTTTTTGCAAATGCCTTGGCAGATGAACAACAATCTTATGACAGTAGGGTACTGGGCATTCTTTTTTAATCCTCGCTTTGCTTGGACGCTTTCTCTTTTTAGACTGGTCTGATTTGTTCACATTGGTATTGGCTGATTCCTCTTCCACAATTTCTTCATCTGAATCACCTCGCACCATTTCATGACCTGAAGATTTATCACTACTTTCATCACTACTTGACTCCTCATCCTGGTCTGGATTATACTCTGATTCATCTCCGTCCTCTTCGCAAGACATGTCATGTGTCCACGACTTCCTCAAAGCAACAGCTTTTTGGGATAACTAAAATAGTAATCACATATTAAAACCCACTATTATGTTAATATACATGTACAATGTATAAATTCAAGTGTACCATGTACATGTAAGAAGGTTAGCTATTATGAAAACCACTGGGGAACTACCGGTACGCCTGAAATAATATTAATACATACATGTACATTGTGTATATTAAGTTTCAGTTCGCAAAAAGGAAAGGCAAAGAAGACAAACTTCCAGACATTCTCAGCAATAAAGAGGGTCCTTTTGTTCACCTGGTGAAAGGAAATGACTGTTCAAGGTTTAAAGCAACTTAAAACTGGGCAGTTAATGATATATCTCTGTCAATTCTTAGTTTAAAGCTAATAATCGGTGACTAATCAGTTGATTATTCATTGATGGCATTGATCTTCGGATAGTTATGTCTGGACCAGAATATCGTGACCTTTAATGGCCCCACAACTGCACGCATAAACAAACCATGCTACAACAACATTACAAATCTATTCAATACTTACCCTCTTTGCCATCTTCGTCAATTAACTTCAAAGGGGATTTAGCACCAGTGACACAACTTGGCTTGAAAGCCTCGATCGTCCAGGACACAAGCCCAAATTATCGACCACGTGGTCGCCAAGCTTTTACGACTTCATGTAAAATAAAACCGTTCATCCCGTCCCTTTGTTACTCGTGTCAGAGATGATGTTATGTCAGATCAGAGATCCAAAAAAAATTGGGGGAGTGGTGGGTAACCGTCCTTGGATACTGAAAGACCACACTGCTTTTAGAAACTTTAGACATGTAGTGACAATATCCCCTTCATTTTTTTCACCAAAAAAGGAAGTGAAATGGAGATCTGTACATTTTGCACGCTTCAATCATGCTGTGGCTTGATATTATGATCTGAATTACGTGGGCATAAAGGGTGCATCGACTATCCAGCCCATCAGCTCATATCTACAATGCAGTGAACACACCTGACACATTGTATTTTAACTTAACATAAGTGTTGTTAAGCTTTTATTTGTTTTCTCCCCAATGGAACCGAAAGAGATAGTTTTACATGTTTGTAATTTAAATAGATCAAAGGGCTAGAACTTTTTTTGTAAACCAGAAAGAGTTCATAGCACAACATAGCGCAACATAACACAACATAGCATAACTTAGCAAAACATTTCACAACATAGCACAACATAGCACAGCATAGCGCAAAATAACATAACATAGCACAACAAGGAACAACATAGCAGAACATAGCGCAACATGGCAGAAAATAGCGCAACATATATAGCAGAACAGAGCGCAACATAGCACAACATAGCGCAACAACGAGAGGAGGGATGGCTGACGAATGCCTGAGATACCACTCAAGATTAGCCGAGCTATT